CCTCCTCACCTGCCCCTAGGGTGGGTCCCCCCAGCTGCAGCTTGTCCCTGCTGTCCTCCTCCTCCTCACCTGCCCCTAGGATATGTCCCCCCAGCTGCAGCTTGTCCCTGCTGTCCTCCTCTTCCTCACATACGTCCCCCCCAGCTACTTGTGTTCAGGCCACTCTAGGGCAAGTCAAGCTATGGCTTTGGGCCCCTGCACTCTCGGGCCACACATTCAACTTCCCCAAGAATGCACTCATGCTTGGGGAAGGGAGGGTCAGGAAACTTTCACAAGTCATAAATCAAGCAAGTGGGAGGTGGGGTGACTGTCTTCTTTTATATAGCTGTCTCCAAATTCTCTGCAGATTTTTCTTTTGGCCTCTTCATTTTCTTGGAGAAGGGAGACAGAAACACCCCTTTCCATTACTTTCTTTACTCCTACAATTTCCCATCAAACAATTCATCTCTCTACTGTTCCAAGGGCTGATGGTGAAGAATGGGAGATGAGAGTAGAGGGGCCAGTGTGGCCACTCTTAGGATACCCTTAGGAGGAGATATCTCCTTTAAGAATGCTGAGTGGTGGGCAGCGCCTGTGGCTCAGTGAGTAGGGCACCGACCCCATATTCCAAAGGTGGTGGGTTCAAATCTGGCCCCGGCCAAACTGCAGCAAAAAATAGCCCAGCATTGTGGCGGTTGGTGTCGTCCCAGCTACTTGGGAGGCTGAGGCAGGAGAATCTCCTAAGCCCAGGAGTTGGAGGTTGCTGTGAGCTGTGACTCCACAGCACTCTACCAAAGGCAATAAAGTGAGACTCTGTCTCTAAAAAAAAAAAAAAAAAAGAATGCTGAGTGGTATTTGTTACCAATTATCCCCAGACCACGACCTGCAACTGAAATTTCAAGACAGAAAGGAAAGTTGCATTCCATAAGTTTGCAAGGAAATATCTTGCAAATGACAGCATGACATTTAGGGGACACGAATAGGACTGGCATGGGTGAGCCTTCTCATTGTGTTCCCTGGTGCTCATGGCATGCTAGGCCAGTGTGCTCATGCTCAACACCTCAGCAGTAACTTTGGGGTTACTACCCTGGGTGTGGGAAAGCAAGACTTGCTGTGGCTCTTCTGTCATCCAGGCTGAGTTTGTCCCCAGTCCTAATATCATAGTAGTCATCTGACTATCAGAGAATAAAACTTCGTTGAAGTTTTGTTAACTGAGTTTTAAAGATCTAATGGTCTTTCATGAGAGGTTCATTAATGGGTCAGCATCCCACTCACAGAAAACAAGGGCGCTGCCGTAGGCTGAGCAGAGGGCAGTGGGTTTCATAGTCAGAAAAAGGGGGAAGAGAGCAGAAATGAAGGACAAAAAGTAGAACGGTCATTTCAAGATGACTTTCCGAATAGAGGGTTACAACAAAAGAGACTTCTTATCATCCCAGCTCAGGTTGCCTGGGCCTCTTTTGATTGGGTACTGGGAATCTCCTATTTTATGGAAAACTCATTTCTAAGTTCAGATTGGTTACATGACACCTGACAAGAGTGACCTCTTTTTTAGTCTAGTCTTTTCTGGTGTAGCCCAGAGCAGGAGCTCCGTCTGAAATAATGCCTTTCCATCCATTCATCTAATGTGACCAATAGCCCCCTGAAGGCCAGATGAGCACAAAGCTCTTGATAGCCATTGGTTTATATTTCCTGATGATCTCTAGAGATTCTGTCTTTCCGTCAGTCATACAGGATTTTAATCTTGCCTTTATTCTAGGTAATAATTACGATTTCCAGGATTTATGAACTGCAAGTTAAGCATCTTGATAATATTGACATACACATCCATAATAACATACACATCCAATTGCAATATATAGGGTGTCCCCAAAGTTATTCCTAAAGTTGGCATACATAGGGTCAATGGGAAATTTTAGCTCAATGTACTATTATATACAAAATATTTATTATAAAATTTTATAAAATGTTCTCTACATATTGCCCAACTCTTTAAAAAGGTTTACAGTGGATATTTTATAAATAAAGGTATATTTAGCTACAATATCTCATTTTTCCAAATATGGCAACTTTAGGGTTACCACCCTGCATTTAGAATTTTGTCTTTGAAGTAACGGAGTTGAGAGGTTAAAAGGATGGGCTCTGCACGTGGACTTCTGAGTTCAATCCTGGTTCCCCTAATTTCTACCTAAGTAACACTAACAAAATTATTTCACCTCTTTTGCCTGAGTTTCATTATCTGAACCATGGGATAAGACTAGATTCTATCATTGTATGAGAATTATATTTTATCATATATATCATACTTAGGACTGTGCCTGACAAATAATAAACAATAAATATTAATGATTATACTAAATGTAATTATGACTCCCTGAAAATGTCCGTGTCTCAATCTGCAGTACCCATGTATGTGTTATGTTACATGGCAGAGAATAGCGTTGTAGATGGAATTAAGGCTGCTGGTCAGCTAACCTTATGGTAAAGCAGCTACCCCAGATTTTCCCCGGTGGGCCTTAAATGTAGAAGTGGAAAAGGTGACCCTAGAAGTAAGGTGCATAAAACTATAGTCCTGCTGGCTTTGAAGGTGGACAGAGATGACCACGAGCAAGGGGTGTGGGCAGACTGGAGGCTGGAAATTTAATAACTGTATTAAAGGGTCGCGGCATTAGGAAGGTTGAGAACCACTGGATTAGATTCTCAATGGAGGAAGGAACACAGCTTGGCAACCCCTTAATTTGAGCCAAGTGGCGCTGTTCAAGCCACGATGTTTGTGGTAATTTTTAATAGCATTAATAGAAAACTAATATAGTTATTATCATAATTAGTTACTACTTTTACAACCCCACAGTAATTCCTAAGGAACAGTTTCCTCTTTACTCCAAGGTGTTAAAAGAAAAACACTATGAAAAAGATTCAACTAAAATAGTCTATAAATATAAAAACTGTTAGTGCTTCACATGTCCCATTTTCTAAAATATTACTAAATTAAACCTTAACTTTATGTTATATTTTAGGTTATTTGATTTGGCAGGTTCATACTTCATTGCCCATAATACAGGGCTAGCTGTGCCCTTTATTGTCCTGTATACTGTATTTTCCCGTAGTATAAATGCCAGGACCTGGATCCTTTAGATACCTAACACCTTGAGTTTTGTTTCCTCCCACTATTTTAGCAAAATTAAGATCTGAAAGGTGGTGCTTGGTTTTATCTTGAGTGTAAAAATAGCAACTGTTTTCCATAGCCTTTTGCATCGGAGTTTGTGAGCATATTGGAGTCGCTGCTACATGCACAATTCCAACAACAAAGAACACAAAGCTGTTACCATTAGCCAACAGATTTTGCTTTAATTCTCATCTGTTGCTCAGATGCTATTGACTTAGTTTCTTTCTTATTTAAAAAAGATTGATTGCTTTGAGGTTCCCTTGGAGTTAGATGTGTGGTTTAAATATGTATTCTTTTTTCCATTGTCTGCATTTCTCTGACACTCTCCTGAAGGTAGGGTTTGGGTAGAGGTTGTGCAGTTGTCCCATACAGAATGGCATCTGGCCAAGGGAGTGAGTGAAGACGTAAATTCTGCCTTCCTCTCCTCACCACGCCTTGCCTCACGGAAGTGTGAATGTGTTAGCGGTGGCCTTTTTCTTGCTTATAAAATACTAAGTGTTTGTGCTTTTCTGATATTAGCTGGTCCATTCATGTTGATAT